CCTAACCACGTGTTTGAACTATTTATTTTAATCGCACATCGTTCAAAGCTGTAAGAATTTCTTTAAAACAAGTACTCTCCGTTTATTTTAAACTAAAAACGTGGTAATTTGATTTGTTTGGAGTTTCGCACAAAACTACACGAGGGCTATCTGCGCTAGCAGTCCCTAAGTTAGCAGCGATATACTAGAGGGAAGGCAAATACTCAACACCAGCCACCGCCAACTACGATAAACCCGCCTTAATTCAACCGCAGGGGCGTTATAATGTGACAATCAATCCCACTATCCGTTGGTAAAAGAGTAGCCCAAGAGTTGACTAGCTGCTATCCTTCTAGTCTGTCACTGCTAACTTAGGGACTGCTAGCGCAGATAGCCCTTAGCTTTGTGCGAAATTCCAAACAAGCCAAACCCGTCACTGTTATAGTATCCAAGCACATACATTACGCTACTTCTCAACGGCTGAAATATACTACAGATCATTTGCTATTCGGATTATTATTGCACCAACGAATAGTGGGATTGACCGTCACATTATAACGCCCCACGGCTGAAAGGGTGAGCATGTTTGGTGTGACGGGGATTCGAACCCGCGACCCTCAGATAGCGAGTGTGTGAGTTTACCTCCTAATGAAAAATAATTATTCTTAACTTAATAATAAGTATTAATTAAAGTCGTAATTATAATAAAGAACTCATTAGCGTGCACTAGTAGCATAAGGTCGGGTTGTTAACATTGAAATCATGAAACGTTTCGGATCCTGCTTATAAAATCGTTTAACTTGAAAAACATTCGCTGAACTCATTTCCACTCAACTGATCACGAATCACAAAGGAAATAAAATTCAATGTTCCCTTGATAAATCTGTACTCTGTAATAACCATTTACTGATAAAACTTTACTGCAGAATCAATGCAAAGACCACTGACAGAATGAACATTTGAGTTTCAAAATACTGTTGTGTCTGCCTATAGGTCTGAATCTAACATTCAGATAAATCGTTTTGTATTCCTGCATATAATAAAGAATGCCGAAAAATGAGGACCTGAAGTTTCCGCTGAACGCACAAACTCCGCACTTTCAGTTGTGAACGCGTTAGAAAAATAACAGTCAATTCCGTCATTCGTTTTAAACATCCCGACAAATCCCTTGTGATAGCGGATGCTGCTGTCTGGCTCCCTTCCTTCTGATAAATCATTCAAAATTAGGAATGGCTATATCTGAATCCTAAAATTCTTTGACCTGGCTATTTAGACAACGTGTACATAAGGCGCTATTCAGGGTAAATATCCCAGTTCTTTCCAAATTATTTATTAATATATTTTTTTAATTTCGGTGGTTCAAAGTATGTTTAGTAAAGATGTTCCTTACCGTAAAACGTATATGCAATAATAATACGAAAAGCAAATGATTTGTTGTATATTTCAGCCGTGAAGGTGTTATAATGTGACAGTCAATCTCACTATTCATTGGTGCAATAATAATCCGAAAAGCAAATGATCTGTAGTATATTTCAGCCGTGAAGGTGTTATAATGTGACAGTCAATCCCACTATTCGTTGGTAAAGAGTAGCCGAGGAATTTACGGTGGGTGGTGGTAATTAGCTGCCTTCCCTTTAGTTAAAATTAGGGACGACTAGTGCAGGTAGACCTTGAGTAACTTTACATGAAATTCGAAAAACAAAGAAACAAAGATTTTCATTTCTTGCTTCTTGTATGTTTATGCAAATATTTAAAAAAAATATTGCCAAGAAAACTCAGTGTTTACGTCAACGAAACCTCCGGGATTCATTCGTACAGCTTAAACGAATTTTAGATGTGTGTTTTAATGTATAATAAATCTCCAGCTCATTAATGATGTAAAGAAATAACTGTTCGTTTTTTTCTTTTATTTTGAAAGAACATCTTTAACTCAGGTTATGTTGATTCAGGCCTTGGTGATTCATTTATAATATAGAAGCCTTTCTACAAATATTTTAATTAGCTGTGTTTAGCTGCAACCCACGTTCATTAGGTACAATTATTGATACTAGGTAGAATGTACAAGACATATGTATATATATTTACAGTTAGTAATAACAAACAACATATTGTACCAGAAAACTTTAATGTATTCACTAACGGGCTGTTTATTTTCATAATTAGTAATGTAATACTGTAAAACAAAAATACAAGTTTTTCGTACAGAATTATAAATTTATATATATACATCGGCACAAAACATAGTGCTTCAGTTTTGTAATTGACTTAAAATGTTAATTTTTTATGCAAAACAATATTTAATAAACATGTAAAAATATTACATTTGTGGAAAACGTAACGCCATTTTTTTTAAATTGTAAACAGACATAATATTCTCGTTATACGGTGGAGAAGATTAGCCCTGTGGAATTTTGTTTGTTTTATCGCAAAGCTACATAATGGGATTTCTGTACTCTGTCCATT